CAAACTTTTTCCATTTATCCCTGTTTCGGCTTTTATTAATGGTGTCACGATTAATGATTGCGACCTCAACTATTTTGTAATTAAAAGATGGTTATGATTTAAAAGTAAACGTGGCGCACCGCTTCGTGTAATTTATATTTAAAGCGCCACTCTATCTCCCTAAATTGAAAACATCGGATTAAAGGGATTAGAGAATAAAACTGCAACGCGAAGCAACCCCCATTGCATAGATTAGCGGTGTTAAAGCCTGTTACTCTGTAATCGTAATCTTAATTACCAACATTACATGTACTTGTAATGAACCTGCTAGCCCAAATCTGCTGTAAAGGTTTGAGGTGTTGTGTGTAAATATTTAGACTAAATATCTCCCATCTCTAGATTACGTGGTCATAAAGTAGTATTGATTAATTTAATCTAGGATTCCTTGACAAATTGTGGATTTTTTTTATTACGAATATTACGACCTCCTAATAAAGCACTGTTCGTAAATTTGGTGAGCGTTACTCTAATTTTATAATTCTAGTTCAATGGTGCACATTTCCTTGACATTCATTGTTTAATATTACTTTAGCCCACAGAAATCATTCTATTGTAAAGGGAAAGCTTTCTTCATTGTCATTTTCAATTTTAAAACTTATTCTACTCCCAAAACAAAGGAAGTTTCCTATATCTTAGACGAGCTAAAGCACGAAGGACGGTATAAATTATACTTCGTGTCTTATTTTCCCATCCACATTCACTAGACCACCACTACAGTTACAAACACATTTAACATGAATGTTACCTATGCACAACAAAAAGGAACTGTAATGTTTTTCTACGTAACAGTCATATAACATTTAACATTATAGGTATATGCTACCTATTGTACACAAACTATTACGTAACCTTTTACCATGTACGTTAATGTATGCGGCTATTATATGTAGAAGTAACAGCTTATGTATCGACCGTCTGTCCGTCTGTCTGCCTGTTAGCACGATATCTCGAAAACGAATGACCCATCACTATGAATTTTGCATGTGGATTCTTTATCAAATTTGTAGTGTAATTTGTAGTTGGTGAATTGACAATATAAGTCAAAAATAAGGAAGGCCCTTTTGACATCTCCGTCAGTTACGACCAAATTGCATGAAATTCAAAAAGAGCATAGCTTTAACCGTATAATACGCAGTAGTCATACCCAATAGCTGGTGTGCTATATTTATTATTAAACAAAAAATTGTCTGAAAAATAGGATATGATACAGTTAAATATTTCACTTACAGAAAGATCAATTTCCATCCAAGCTTCAATATTAACGAGCCATTATAACACATTCACAAGCAATTAAAATTATTTTGTTATTTATTCAGTAGTGGAATTTGAAAAGATACTTACCTGTGTTTAGATAGCGCGTAATTATACGGTTTGTTATACAAGGCAAACATGCTCCTAGTGAAGAAGTATTGAAGTGTGTTTAATTATTTATGTAACACAATTTATTTCATCGCGGTCATTAGGGCGAAAGGTAACGAAATTTATGCGAAATTCAAGTTAGCAATTGGATCAAAATGATCCTTAACGTCTTTTTTTTTAATTCTCATGAATACAAGTAATTAGGCAGGACCTCGTGGCGTATATTTAGTTTAATAAGTAATTTTCTCGACCCTAAATTATAAATTTTAAGTGTGTGCACCTCGCTCAGATAAACACAATTTTGGCAGAACAGAAAACAAATATTGACGCAATGGAGTTAAAGAGCAATCAATGTTTGATTAATAAAGAGTTTTTTATGGCTATGGAGTTTGCAGAGTCAATTATTATCTAACCATTTATTTAACCACATTTCCACACCATTACGTTTAAAGTTTTGAAAGAGTCATCAGAAGCCAATGCAAATCCGTAGGACAGATGAGAGTGCCAAATTATTATACAATCTGAAACCGTCTAGGTTGAACGAAGTTGTTTCGGGAGAACTAGGGAATGTTTACGTATACGTACAGGTGGGTAGTACGAGTACATTATTAAATTTTTTTAAGTCACGGAGGAACTGGGGTTATAACGAACACAAAATTATTACCAAATAGTCGTATTTCTTCCTGTTTTTCGCTGGCAAAACTATACATTTTGTACGATAATAGACTACATTATTATCAAGTTAAACAGTATTTAACTTTTCCGTCCAAAGTTTCATGGGGATCGGATGAATGGTATCTCTTACATGTATCCTTTTAAATGAACCACATTAAAGCATTAAAAATTTTAGACCGGATTTTATGGAATTTAAATAGCACATATTCACCAATGTTATCTTATAGTCTAAGTGCCAGAAAACCCTTTCTCCCAGCCACCCAGTTCGACCAAATTAAATTTCGTTATTGCATGGCGTTCAACAGAAAAACGAGTAAAATGCGTTTTTTTCGATTTCAGAGAAAAATAGTGCTATTTAACAAATTAAGTATGAAAGGATTGCTTGCAACCCCTTTCGTCGCATAGAAATACACCGGCAAAGTGCCGAGTGCCGAATATGGTAAAACGGTAAAACTGTATAGCAATATTTTTCTGTAAAAATTATAAAGCTATATACTCGCGTTTTGCCGTATTCGATTTATAAACACATTAGAAGAGGATTTCCGTGTGGCCTGTTAACAGTTTTTTGCGGAATACTAATGTAATACGGAAATTTTATTTGTTTTGGCCGAACTTTTAGATGATGAGATCTTTTTAGGTTTCTCTGCGTTCATTTGTTTAAAAACCGTTTAATTAGTTTAGATTTTGCTGAACGCAATCTACACTTTTTTGGTATTTCTATGGTAGTCGGCTATCTCTGGAGAAACAATTGCTATCTTTGCTTTCTGTCTTTACGAAGGTCGGCCATAGCAACAAAATGACGTAACATACTTGGCGCCCGAGCATGTAACAGGTGGTCGTTTTAGGCTTTAAGAGCGGGGAATTTGATACAAATTACAAACATACCTAGCGTCAAGAATAATTGCCAAAGTAGGTACTTAATATTATGCCGTGAAACTTATACCACATGTAGATGATGAACTGATGTAAAGCATAATTACATTTTTATTGTAGAGTCGCGTTTACAGTGACATCCATTGAGTAGTTTGTGCGTAAAATGGAGATTCCCCACCCTTAAAATACCGACTGTGTAGCTTAGTGGTAGAGCGTTGGGCTACATAGTCGGGAGGTCGGATGTTCGAACCTGGTCTGAGTTAAGAATTTTCAACTGAGGCAGAGATGGGAATTTCTTTAGATCAGTTTCGAGCACTCTACCGGCTACTACGAATTAGCTTTTCCTAATTCGTAAGGTAAATACCGGAGTGGTATAGAACAACTTAAGACCTTCCGCTGGGACATCACTAAAAAGCATTGGGCGGGTCACTCTGTAATTGGGCGGACGCCTGTTAAGGGTCCAGAACAAGAGAGGGATTACAAATAATTAAATAATATAATAGCCTTCTGCCTACCAATGTTAAAATATTTTCGATATTCTAAATGACTCTGGAGGCAAACAGATTCAGATTTAATTCCAAAATCTCATTTTTTTACTCCTCTAGTCTTACCCTTTGCGGTCCAGTACATTGTATTGTCTGTACCAGTCGCATTGATAGGCCCCTATTCGTGAAGTCTATGCAACATATTCAACATATGCAGCTAGGCTAGGACTATCATGGGCTTGATCCATTTAAGCCCAAAAAAAACGAAAAAAATCGTTTCGTTGTAGCTTATCCAGTTTACCAATCAAATATGTGCACCTACGTCGTTTATACGAGGTGCTAATAAAATGTTGAATAAAGTGGCAACCGGTAAAAATGTTAAGGATAATTAATGCTTGCTTTTGTTGGCTGTCAAAACCCTAAGTTATAAGGATAATTTTTCACATTTACGTACAATGGAACATCAGTAAATTATTTCAGTGAATAAGCCAAATTTTAACTGTTATTTGCGAGAAACCTGAACCACAGTTTTTTCTCCTGATTCAAACTCGTCAGCCAGCGTTCGAAATTCGTACGAGTAACCAAACCTCCGATTGTACATTGTAAATTTTAAATTTTATTTAGCATCCAGAGGGATGTAAACTTATTTTGAATAGAATTTTATACCAGGTGTTTGATTAATTACGATTAAAAAAATCAGATAATTAATTAATTTGGAAACGTGATCACGATATGGGGATTGAAACTTTATTTTGTATCAGTTATATGTAGTACAATCAATATTTTAAATCACAAAAAATGTAACGAAAACTGAAATTGGAACGAGATTATTTTCAGGAATGTATTCAAACGAATCACTTTGTATGAGTATTTATTTGAGAGTAATCAAACCGGAGCAGTAGGTTTTAATTTTTCGTTTTATAAGGTGAGATAAAGAGCCAACATTCCGCAGGGTAAGAGTCATTGAAAATTTATTCATTGCTGAGCTAGCAGGGGTATTAATTATTTCATTACAAAAAATTAATTGTTACAGTTGAGAATAAAATGCATTTTGTACAAGTGGAGTTTCCAACCCCTGTAAATGTAACTAAGCACTTTATTAAAGCGGCGTCAGGAAACGTGACACCCATCGGAAGAAGAGCTTTCTCACGCGCAATACATGAAGTATCCTTTATATGAAAATGTCCGGAATATTCTTCTACAATATTACACCGACCAATGGCACCGAATGGTGAAAAGTGTATAGTGGATAGTCCAAAGTGAAGTGTGATGTGAAAGAGCCGTGAAAGGTCGATGGGCCTATCTATTTAAGAATACCTAAATATGGTTATATTCAATACTCAAGGCACGATTTATAGGTAATTAGGGATATGAGGTAGAATTGTGCTTCAGCGTAACACAAATTGCTATATTATTTAAATCTATGTAAAGTTACTCTCAGGTATTGTCAACATTTCCCGGTATTTCGCCTTGGAGTATTGTGATATCAATCCTCATTACGGCAAGTAGATCCGGAAGTTTATAAAAGATGCTGATTATCGATTACTGTACTATAAAGCTTCAACTTACCAACTAGTAATATAGACAGAACAGTTACAGGATCCTGATCTTCAGGATCACCACTTTCCTCTACTTCCGTATCATTGGTAATCATCTGAAACAAAGAGCAAGGATTAGTATTTTGTGAGCAACGCGTTTATGGGCATATTAAATAGAAATGTCCAAGTAGGTACCTCCGTTTTATTGTAGAAATGGTTCAGTCAATGAGTTGTGAATGTTTAACAGGTCAGGAGTTTGTCAAAGTGACACTTCTACATTTACGTTTAATTTGCGTTTGAACAAATAAAAATATTTACGTAGTGGATAAGTTTAGGCTGTATGGCAACAACTTTAATGCTTATATTTCGTTTGTGGAAATTACCGTCATGAATAACTTAACGAGGTAAGTACACAATAGTAAAAAACTACGGAACAACGTTTACTATCGAAATACTACTGTTTCCTAACATAAATTAAGATTACACTTTTATCTAATTTAGATAGCTGAGCACTCAATCCGGTCCATCAACTAATGTACCTTTGTTTATACTGGAGTGGCTAATATTTAGTGAATAGACATTGGTGTTAATAAGCCAACTAAATTGAAATATGAATGGCACATTTGATTTAAATTTATAGACGTCAGGAACATCGTCACAATTGCAAATTTAAGCATAGATTTCCATAATATTCGAAACCATCCGCGTAAAACTATATTTTTTACTACGAATTTACTGTCGATACATTCAGAGCCAAAGAATTTTAAGAATGCCTCAAATGAAAAATGAGTGAATATAGAAAATATAATATATTATAATTTCTTTATGTAATGAAAGGAATGTAGGTATATGTATATATCTAATAGATCCGACATATTAGGCAGTATAATTTAAGTATTTATAAATAAATAACGCTTTGCCTGTAGAAGTTTAAGATAGATGACTAAGACACTGTAAATCCGCCGTTTGCAACTGTTCCCGTCAAGATCTTTCAATTACCTTTGTTGCACTTAGACGACGAGAGCAAATTAATATTTCAGAATATCAACCACATTAAGCCATAATTATCAGGTTATTGTTTCGTATGATGAAAACGAGTATTAAAACTGCAAGGTCATTTTTTATACTGTTATCAGCTTGATATCGCCAACCCCGCCGGTTAATCTCAACTTCCAATTAAAACTCGGTGTAACGAAGCACCCGTTTTCCGCCCCGGTTGGCACCCCGAAGTGGTAAAATCGTCCAGCTTTGCTGAACACCCGGTGTCTGGAAGCCTTTTGAGTTTGGCTTTTCGTTACGAAGGAATTCCTGAACTTAATTATTTGCTCGAGGAGTGAGCAAACATGTAACAGGGACTTTACATGTAACTTGATTAACCTGCTCTCGTGGTAGGAATAGTAGACAATACTAATTTATTATTACTTCTAAAAAATGTGTTGTCAACAATTGAGTAATGCGCTCGAAATTGGTATCGGACAATTCATTTGGTATACACAAGCTTCTGAAAGGTCTGAAAAACCGCACGTTTCTTATTCACATCCGTTAACCGTTCGCCTGGAGATAAAAATTAACCCTTTGTACTAATTAGGGTTGCCAGACATCCCTCAGCTGTGAACTAACATGATGACCGGGTATATATACCACATTCAAAAATTTAATGGGTACTACTTCGATTGTCATTTTGGCCAAAATATTGTTGTTTTTTGGTTTTTTTATTGTTGTTATATTTAATTTTTTTTAATGTCATACCTATTAATCCAATTACACGTTTTTAACGCACAAAATAAAAAGAACCAACAGAAAAAATAATATTTTAATAAAAAACAAAATAAAATAAAATGTTACACATGTGAGAATCAAATTTAACAAAAGCATGTTTTTCTGGAACAAAACCCAAAATATTAAACAAAAATGTGGAGAGCGCTGCGTGATTGGTTGAATTAGTTCACTATAACCTCAGACAACACACACACACACACACACCCTATGTCACGACCTCGCGATCGAGGTTTGAGGCTATTTATCTTTTGGTTCATGCAGTGTCGCCACTAGGTATTCGGGTTTGAGCAAGTGTAACTTTTCAAAACGTTCCGTTATTTTTTTTTCCGGGATTTATATATGGAAAACCGGGATCAACTCTATGTACTTGTATGAACACAGTTCATGTCTCTAGATATTTCCCTACCCCAAGTAAGACATTTGCGTTTCCTATCCTCGTTGCCATTTTACGTACCCGCTTTACTTCCAAGCCGATTAGCACAATCCAATTCTTACCTCGATCGAAGGATGTGTGTACCATTAAAAATGTAGATACACCCTTTGGACGCTCTCAAGGAAAGCACTATTCTGACTAATATGTGGTGGACTGAAAGATAAAGCAAACAACGTCATCGACATATAAACCTGAACAGTTATGCAAATGGCAAAACAAGGCAACCCATATCTGCCTTTTTCTGACAACATACGAGTACATTGAACATTTTGTGAAATAATAATAATAGTTTATTGACCAACAGAACGCATCCATTTACAGGTCAACTTATTGCATTAAATAAGAAAAGAAGAAAATTGAGAGAAAAAAAATAAAAGTGAATTTTCAAAAAAACAAAACAAAAAAAACAGTTAATAACTGCCTTGAATCATTATACATTAAAAGAAAGACAAATTATAAAAATTGTGAAACTAAGAAATACTATATATATATATATATATATATATATATTATATATATATATATATATATATATATATATTTATACACCCGTACTTATGGCAATGTAGATTTGGCTACACCGCTTGCGTAAAAAACCCGGGAAACGTGTATTGCAACAAGTACACTTCGTAGTTCCGTTGACATATACGTATAATTATATTGCGGTGAGTACCGATATTTATGTTAGATACAAGCAATATGTGTTGCCTAAAGAACAGATTCGAGAAAGTAACTCATCTTCTGAATTCCAGGTTTTGTGATTATCCGCGAAAACAAAGCGATGCTTTATAGAAGAGTCGATGTTGTCCGTGAACACGATAACTGCCAAACTTGTAGATAGTGAGTTCGTGAATACAAAATAAGCAAGGCCCTTTTGACATCACCGTTAGTTATGAACCGAATTGCATGAAATTTGATACTTAGGCACTGAGAATAAAAGTAAATCTAACGCCAGTATCAAAATTTGGTTTTGCGCAGCGCTAACTTTTTAGCGTAAACCACAACTTCCACAACGAAGTTGTGGTACAGCTGCTTATGTGCTCGTGTTTCCGTCTGTCCGTCCGTCCGTCCGTTCCATCGAGATCTCGGCCCCTGGGCCACCTAGAGACTTCGGGTTTTCGCTAATTGATAGCTGTTATGGTCTATATTAGTACATTTCGATCAGTTTTTTTAACTCCATATTTTGCGCAGACTGCGCAATGCCAACTTTCTTATTTATGGAGATATTTCTTTGAAATTTTAACCACAGATGCTTCTAGTAAAGGCAAACATTTCGCACAAACATTTCGCACATAGTAAAAGTTATGTGTGGGCATGCGCAGTGACTGCGCAATGCCAACTTTCTTATTTATGGAGATATTTCTTTGAAATTTTAACCACAGATGCTTCTAGTAAAGGCAAACATTTCGCACATAGTAAAAATTATGTGTGGGCATGCGCAGTGACTGCGCATCCTGCACAATGCCAACTTTCTTATTTATGGAGATATTTCTTTGAAATTTTAACCCCAGATGCTTCTAGTAAAGGCAAATATTTCGCACATAGTAAAAGTTATGTGTGGGCATGCGCAGTGACTGCGCAATGCCAACTTTCTTATTTATGGAGATATTTCTTTGAAATTTTAACCACAGATGCTTCTAGTAAAGGCAAACATTTCGCACATAGTAAAAATTATGTGTGGGCATGCGCAGTGATGTGTGGGCATCCTGCGCAATGCCAACTTTCTTATTTATGGAGATATTTCTTTGAAATTTTAACCACAGATGCTTCTAGTAAAGGCAAATATTTCGCACATAGTAAAAATTATGTGTGGGCATGCGCAGTGATGTGTGGGCATCCTGCACAATGCCAACTTTCGTATTTATGGAGATATTTCTTTGAATTTTTAACCACAGATGCTTCTAGTAAAGGTAACCATTTCGCACATAGTAAAAATTATGTGTGGGCATGCGCAGTGACTGCGCAATGCCAACTTTCTTATTTATGGAGATATTTCTTTGAAATTTTAACCACAGATGCTTCTAGTAAAGGCAAACATTTCGCACATAGTAAAAGTTATGTGTGGGCATGCGCAGTGACTGCGCAGTGCCAACTTTCTTATTTATGGAGATATTTCTTTGAAATTTTAACCACAGATGCTTCTAGTAAAGGCAAACATTTCGCACATAGTAAAAGTTATGTGTGGGCATGCGCAGTGACTGCGCAATGCCAACTTTCTTATTTATGGAGATATTTCTTTGAAATTTTAACCACAGATGCTTCTAGTAAAGGCAAACATTTCGCATATAGTAAAAGTTATGTGTGGGCATGCGCAGTGACTGCGCAATGCCAACTTTCTTATTTATGGAGATATTTCTTTGAAATTTTAACCACAGATGCTTCTAGTAAAGG